GGTGGGCAGCCTCCACGTGATCCTACCAGTGTCCGCCACAGGTGGCGCTGCTGGGGGGGCTGGAGCTGGGGGCTGGGTAGGAGGGGCTGGGCTGTCAATCACAGCATCTCCTTGGAAATGGGAAAAAGACACAGACAGGAAGTTACTGAACCCTGACCGCCTTCTCGGGGAATAAGACATTGCACAGTTCCTCCTGGGAGACTCCTGGATCAGGGTGGTTACAGATTATAAACAAGCCAAGAGCAACACCGGCAGACCAGTTTGCTCCTCCTTGTGCTTATTTTCAACAAGATAACACTTTCATACCGCCAGGGTAAAACACGGAAACAGAGAGAGAAAGGGGAAAGAGAGAGGAGAGAAAGAGAGACAGCTAGGGAGACAGAAAGAGAGAAGAAGAGAAAGATGGAGAGACAGCTAAGGAGACAGAGAGGGAGTGAGCGAGAGCTGTAGCTCAGTCAGTCCTGCAGCAGTGCAGCTAGACGTTTTCAATGGTGGAGTTGCACAAACTGACCAGGAGGGGGAGGTATACTCCCAAGGGTCACCGGCTCCCCTCTGTCCACAGCCTCCAGGATGGGATCAAATTTCTGTCAAACAGAGTGGGAAAGATGTGAGAAATTTGACAATTCTGGCACCACCCTGTCTAAAACTGTAGTTTTACAACATGAGCATACCTGAGCCACAGTACACATCTGTATTCAGGTACATCAGTGTAAAGACTCTTACCTTCATACTTCCCTGTAGCTTGCATGCATTGCTAAAATCCTATGAAGATTTAAGTTTTAGTTTTTTATTTTGACCTTCTGACACTGGACTTCACACAATGACAGGCTGATAAGAAGTTCAGAGCTCTTTAACAAGCATAATTAACCAACACCTCACCGATCCCCCCAATCCACTCATTTCACTTCACCCAAGAGGACTGAACCACACTGACTTTATTAAGCACAGAATGCTTCAAGAGATACATAGATCACTCATGTTTTTTTCATAACAAAAATCCCAGTTCAGGCATCACTATCCAGCAGTAAGCAATTATTTTGCTCACCTGTATAATCAAAAGCTCAAACAGGGCAGTGCCTTCTATACATCATCTGAATGCTACGTTAATTATTGAGTCGTATTTAACTAACAATACTCACAGATAGAACAGTCTTTACTTTTCTTCATACCATGAACTTACAGTGCCTTGAAAAAGTATTCAGACCCTTATAATAATAATAATAATTGCTTACACTTATATTGCGCATTTCTGGAAACAACCCTTGTCCAATTCTCCCATTTTACTGAATTACAAATCCTACATTGAAATTTTGTTCTCTGTGATATTTTGATTTCAAAGCACTGAAACTCAAAAGTAATTACTTTAATGTGACATTGTTTTATGTTAGAAAATATTATTAAAAAAATAAAAAAAATGAAATATGCTGTTTGCATAAGTATTCAACCCCCACATTTTAATATTTTGTAGAGCCACCTTTTGCAGCAGTAACAGCTTTAAGTCTTTGGGGGTCAGTATGTACCAGCTTTGCACACTGTTCAGGACTGATTTTGGCCCGTTGTTCCAGGCAGATGTGCTCCAGGGTGTTCGGGCAATTTTCAAATAGCGCCACAGACTCTCAATTGGATCGCGATCAGGGCTGTGACAGGGCCGATGTAGGACATTCACCTTTTTGTTCTTGAGCCACTCCAGTGTTACTTTGGCCTCATGGTTGGGATCATTGTCCTGCTGAAAGATGAACTTTCTCCCAAGCCTCAGTTTTTTAGCAGACTGAAGCAGGTTCTCATGCAGTATCTCCCTGTATTTTGCACCATCCATTCTTCTCTCTATTTTAACACGATGCCCAATCCCTGCTGATGAAAAGCAGGCCCACAGCATGATACTACCACCACCATACTTCATTGTAGGTGTGGTGTTTTTTGAGACGTGAGCAGTGGGCACATCTCGCTTTGAATTTTGGCTAAAAAGCTCTATCCCGGTCTCTTCTGACCACAAAATCTTTTCCCACATCGCAACTGGGTCACTATCATGCTTTTTGGCAAACTGCAGATGTGCTCTCACATGGTTCTTTTTGAGTAATGGCTTTTTCTGTGCCACCCTCCCATACAGGCCACTGTTATGCAGAGCTCCTGATATAAAAAACGCCTTTACTCCTCTCTCAGCTACTGGACTCTGCAGCTCCTTCAAAGTGATCGTTGGCCTCTCTGTGGCTTCTCTCACAAGTCTCCTTCTTGTTCGCGCAGAGAGTTTTGAGGGACGGTTTGATGTAGCTTCCACTTCCTGTTAATTGAACTAACAGAGTGCCCACTGGGACATCCCAACACCTGGACATTGTTTTGTACCCTTTCCCTAGTTTAAGCGTTTATTTTACTTTATCATTAACTTCTTTGGAATGCTCTTTAGTTTACATTTTCATAGCTGTCCAGATTTACAACCTGAATAATGATCCCTTAACTGCAGGGGTTTTATCCAGAAAACGTGGCAGTTATTTTAATGATTCACAGGTAGAGGCCAATTGTAAGGCAACTGCGTCCTTGTTAGGACAATTGTTTTTCACCTGTGTAAAACCAGAGCGTCTGCAACACAGGGATTGAATACTTATGCAAACAGCATATTTCTTTTTTTTTATTTTTCTTAAGAATATTTTCTAAAATAAAACAATGTCACATTAAAATAATTAACTTTGAGTTTCAGTACTTAATACGTACGAAATAAAAATATCGCAGAGAATTAAATTTCAATGTAGGATTTGTAATTCAGTAACATGAGAGAATTGGTCAAGGGCCTGAATACTTTTGCAAGGCACTGTATCTGTTGTTTCATTTCAGAAATATCAACGACTTGTATCTGTATGTTGGGGTTTTCCACAGTTTAAAGGCAGAGATGATAGATGTTTGTGGCCAAGTACTGCAAAGAGCTGAGCTGCTTTTGAAGTGATTTAAATCTGTTTTTATGAGTGTGTCTTATCAGGGTTGATAGATTGGTGGTGCAGTTATCTAGGACTGGGGTACAAAGATTTCTTCTCTAGCAAAATGTAATTCAAATTCAAAGAGGTTTATTGTCGTGGGTGGTGAATCACAGTTTCTAAAGCAATGAAAATTAGCAAGAGCAAACATTTATAGACAGATACAACAATAGCTGCCAATTATTTAAAGGGCTCAAATTTGTTCAAATTCAACTACCTTTTGAACTAGTTACCTTTATTCCCAAAGCAATAACAATGAGCAAACACTGAGAACAATAATATACTATTATTAAAGACCCTAATTCTCTGTTTCTAAAGCTGTAACATCATCACATACTGGGCTGCAGCTCTGTTGAGTTCCCTCCCCCAGTAGGATTTGAGTTTTTTCAGGAAAGAATGTCTAATCCCAGAGTATTTCTCACACCGCAGCAGAAAGTGCATCTCTGTCCCCACTTGTCCCCACTGGCAGTGGGAGCATAGCCTGTCCTCTCTAACCTGTCCTCTCTGGACAGCCAGGTCTGCCTGTGTCCAGTTGAGCCCGTGCTCTGGATAGTCAGGTCTATCTGTGTCCAGTTTCTATGGCCAAGCTGTGGTCAGTGAGCCTGTTCTCTCTGGACAGTTAGGTCTCTCCGTGTCCAGTTTCTATGGCCAGGCTGTGGACACTGAGCCTGTTTTCTCTGCACAGCCAGGTCTGCCTGTGTCCAGTTTCTATGGCCAGGCTGAGGACACTGAGCCTGTCCTCTCTG